GCTGGAAGGTGAGAGTAAACGACCACTGTACAGACTGGTATACGTCACCTAGTGCCGTACCTCAGGGAACGGTTTTGGGTCCAGTTCTGTTTCTACTACATGTGAATGATCTACCAGTGGTCCTACAGTCGGCAAGTCTGTTATTCGCTGATGAGCTTAAGATATGGAAACCTATTGAGCGTGACGAAGACCGAGTGGCTCTTCAGCATGACTTAGAACGTCTGGTGGCCTGGTCCTCTGAAAGGAGGCTTCCGATCAACCCGGCCAAATCAGAACATATATGCCTGGGAAAGCCAACTTCAGATCGTGTATATCATCTAGATGGCCAAAAATTGAAATCGGTCTCATCAATCCGAGACTTGGGCGTTCAAATCCGTTATGATTTAAAGTCGAAGGACCACACGAGCGCTGTGTATAAGAAGTCTTCGCATTTTGTGGGCATTGAAGCGAAGTTTTTCGATGTGGACGGAAGTTAGTTTTAAAACTGTATCCCATCATGATCCGGCCTATATTGGAACACGGTGCACCAGCTTTCTCCCCACTTACGAAAGTCGAAGCCCGAAAGCTCGAACGTGTCCAACACCTCGTTACAAAGATGGTTCCCAGTCTGCGGGGTCTTTCTTATTCTGAGAGATGCAGCAAACTGAAATTGTTCACACTTGAATACAGACGTCTCCGGATTGACCTCATCTATGTTTCCCGTGTTTTGTGCCTAAACCATTTTCTGCAGTTGATGTTCTTGTTTGACATTCCAACAACCAACATCACCCGAGGACATCGATTTAAACTTACCGTCACACGCACGGACAATGTGCCTCATGGGTAGAGTTTCTCTCGCCGCGTTGTCATTTTGGAATCGTTTACCGGCAAATGTCGTTAGAAAAGAAACAGTTCAAATTTTCGAACGTAATTTGGATGAACATTTAGCTGATCTATGCTTCTGTGAGGATATGTCCTCCGCTCCCGAAGTTCAAATTTTCGAACGTAATTTGGATGAACATTTATCTGATCTATGCTTCTGTGAGGATATCTCCTCCGCTCTGGTCCCGAATTCAGCTATTGCTCCAAATATATGATTCTGATTCTGATACAAGGTGGGTAGAGTTGGACGTGAACTCGGCAGGTGATGAGTTGGGAGCGAAGGGTCGGGGAAAAAAGAGTTCAGTCCAATAGCAATCGTTGAGTGTGAAAACGGGATTTGCGCGGTTTCCGGACACATAAAGAATGATAAAACAGACTAGGTCCGATGGACACCTACTTATGTAACGCCAGTAATAAACAACACTGCATCCAGTCAGTATTTGGTGGATCATTGTATGTAGACTATCCTAATCGTTGTTTCGATAGTTTCGGACTTACAATGCTCTTGACTAAGCTTGATTCACAGGGAATGTTCTAGAAGTCCAGAAACTAGTATTTCTTGATAGTCGGGGTCATTAGCAACACATGCAGTCCAAAACGAACGAGTTTTCCGACCATACGACGGCCGTATAATCATCTAATAGCCGCCGACTATAGTTGATTGGCGGTTATTTACACCATACACCGTTTTTGTGGTTATCTGGTGACTGTGAGCCGTCATACAAACGGCTGATGGCCGTCAAGTAACGGATGTGCCACGAATCGGCTATGGACCAAACGAGAGCGCCGTCTGATTGGACAGGATAAAAGTTAGCCAGGGTCAGGCGATCTACGCACGAGTACTAGAAGTAGCCTAGACTCCAACAGGCCTTTTGATTGGTTACAGTAGAGACCAAAGAATCGTGGGGAGCATTCTAATTCTGAAAAGAAAT